TGTACCTGGCCCACTACTCCGGGTATCTCTTTCGGGCTCGTGTCATCGGAAGCATGCTTGGCCTGGTTCTCGGAGGACTGTTCGGCGACTATACCTCCAGGATATGGGCATTCTACGCCAGCTTTGCGTTCTGCGCACTGGGGCTCCTCATAATTCCATTTGCCGTGGACCTGCGTGGCCGGCGCAGCATCTCCATGCGCAAACTCCGCAGCATGTGCTGGCTGAGCGTCGTTCTCAGCCTCGTGGGGATGGGTTGCCTGCTCATCGGTCTAAGCCTGGGCGGCACTTTCTACCCCTGGTCGAGCTGGCGGGTCCTCGTGCCTCTTTGCCTCGGAGCCGGCGTGGTTCTGCTGGTTGGCCTCTATGAGAGCATCTGGGCGACGCGATCGATCTTCATCGCAGCAGATATTCAGTGTCTGCCTCGAGCGATGATGTACCTCAGTAGCTTCCTTCATGGGTTCTCGGTGCGTGCCCCCAAGTCCCCATTACCATGCACCAGTGAAGCTAATACACATACAACCCCAGCTCCTCTCCCACCTGCTCAACCTCCCGATGTACCTGATCCTAATCCAACGCCTCACCCCGACCCTATCGGGCCTCAGCCTCCTCACCGTCACCGCTCCATCCTTACCCGCCCTCCTCTTAGTCTCCAGATGGTCTTGGTTGCACCGCCCCCGCACCCTCCGCTGGATCATCCGCGCCGGCTGGGCCATCGGCCTCCTAGCCTCGTGTGCGTTCATCACCCTCGACATGCACACCCCGCCCCAAGCCTGGGTCTTTATTTTCCTGGCTACAGGGATCAGTCACGCTCTTTTGATGTCTGGATACCATCGTTGCCTTCAACACCGACCACGATCTCACAGCCCCTCCGGACGCTGGAAATCCGACAGCACCAGCACCAGCAACGCCGGGGAGCCGCAGACCGAGGTCTCCAAGGGAGGTATGCTGCTGTACTCCATCCTGCGGACGTGGGGCATGTGTATCGCGGTGACGGTGAGCGGGACCATCGTTCTGGGTCAGGTGGTGCGGGAGATGGGCGACCAAAAGGGAGTGGATATCCTGGGGCTGGGAGGGAAGGTGACCCAAGGAGATGATGGTGGTTCGTCGATGATGATGATGATGTTGCTGATGATGATGGGTGATAGTGGGGGCAAGAATGGAAATGAGGGCGAGATGGCGGTGCTGCGCGGGATGTACATGGATGGGCTGCAGGCTTTGTGGAGGGTCCTGCTGGGCGTGGTGGCTCTAGGCGGGCTGTGCAGTTGCTTCGCGAGGTAGATTCTGAGAGTGTTTCCCAGTAGGTTTGTACTCCGAAGGGCTTGTTGGAAATGATAGAAGGTTAGGTTGGTTCGAGGTTACACGGTGTACTTGGGTCATTGTGTTGGATGGTTGGGGTCCTTGTCAGACAGTGAGCTCTGGTGGTGGGTTCAAGTAGCTCATGTTGCTACTTTTGCTAATGCTATACTAATGACATTGTTCTTCTTGTTCTCCATGCTACGAGTCCTGGCCCTAGGCTGTCGACATCACAACAATGAAAAAGAAGCAACCATTCATTCCAGATGCGAAGCAAGACACATCCATATAAGATGACATAGTAAGAACAACAAATCCAACGTCGGTAGAGTATCGCCTGAACTTACAAAGACTTACAACACCAGAGCACGACAAGAAACAATTACAGCACGATGCCTAGAATTGTATTCGCACCAAAGAGCAATCGCCCAAAGAAGGACACCCGCCTCCCTCTCCTTTCTCTACTTCTCTTTCTTCTTATGCTCCTCCTGATAATCACCATATCCACATCCTTCTCAACCACCATTGTGGCCACCTTCTCTTCCTCCTCATCACATCATCCCCTTTCCTTAACCTCAACCAGCTAAGGCAAAGCCACACCGCCGCATGGGCACGCCAAGCCCCTTCTCATTCACCGAGAATGGCGAATGGCGGTAGTGCCCCCCTACTCCCGCTCTCTCGACTCCACGAGCGCCGAAAGAGGGACGAGAGTGGCTTTAGGGTACAGAGCACGTGCTGGTGGTGGTGGTGGTGGCAATAGTAGTAGCCGTAGTTGTAGTACTGATAGTGTTGATATCTACCTTGCTGAGAAGGCTTTGCAAAGGGGCAGAAACGGAGTCGGTCATGTTTCTCGTGACGGATCTTCTCTTGAGAGGGGGAGAAGAGGCAGAGGGAAGGATTAGATTGTGGCCTGCGGACTGGTTTTGCTTTGTTAGTGGATTGGATGCCTTAGGGCTGACGCTGCACACAAAACGCAGAAGAGGAAGGGGAAGGGCTCAGTTCTTACTTTCGCTTCTAAGTTCTGCAGATAACGAAGGCAGACTGTCATGTCCTGTCGAGGACACCCTTCTTATGAGCGTGCGTGCATGTGGTTGCTTCATGCGATTTGGAGTGACGTATAGAAGATCGATTCAGCGCCTTGGTCTGACCAACGGGTCTGGATCTCCCATGGTGTGTGTATGTGCCCAGAGGATAGGACACTTGAGAATACCGCAAGCAATTTATAGACTAGACAGTTCTAGGTAGACTGTTCTGCACCTGCACAGTTAGAAAACATGAGCAGCTAGCTCCAGGAAAACTTTTCTTGTGAGCTCGAAATTCTGTTCTGGTGGCACTGCCACCCGTCCTAGAACACGCTCGAACTCTAGGATTAGAGGCTCCCCAATGACTCGGGGGTGGAGGACATGGTGATCGATTGGAATACGACTGATCCTAGGCTGATAGTACGGTGGCTCATCTGGGTCAGCGTGATGCTGTGGTCGAATGAGATCTCGAACTCGAGCCAAGGGAGATGATTGATGCTTGATTTCTTGGACACGGTATATTCATCGTCAAGACTGCGTTGAGCGCGGGCGTGAGGGTGGGATGGAGAATACACTTGTTACGTTTACAGGCATAGACTGCTGCAATAGGTATTCACACAGAGATCTAAGTAGATTCAAGTGGATTGGCTAGTCGAGCAATCGAGGCGCAGTCACTCCGATGCGGATATACCAGGAAGTGGAAAGCTATTCACACCATTGGTAAAATTGATTGTTCTCGGTGCTATTCACTAACCCTAGATGGATTGCTGCGCCTTCAGGCTTCTTTCTGGTCTTCACCTTCCGTCCTGTGGAGATTGTCCCACCCTCAGCATTTACAGCCTCAAGATCTACAGCATCGTACAGCTAATCGAGACAGTACACTTAATTTATCTTGCTATGCCTATACTACAAAACACCGCACGAATAAAGCACCAAGAAGATGAGATCGATCCATTCTCCGACCTAAGCACCAAGACCATACATACATACACAAAGCCCATCTCCCAACCACAACCCCCCCCAGTAGACCCGAACTACTCCCTCTGCAAAAACCCGATCGAATCCAACTGCTCCGTCTCCCCCACCCCCAAACTCACCTCCCTCACCTCCTCCAAATCCTTCTTAATACTCTCCAACTCCATCGAAATCATCCCAAACGCATCCGCACCGAGGGGCACGCGGATGGGAATCCTCCTTCCACGACTCACAATCTCGACCATCGCCCGCACAATCGCCTGGGGCTCCGCCCACGCCCGCCGGTTTTCTTCTTGGCCCATGTACGCCAACAGCGCATTCGCCGGATACCCTGGATGGTCGTACGCCGGATGGCGCCCGTTGACCATGGTCTTGAGGCTGGTCGTGGCGTAGTTGGTCTTCACGCCGCCGGGTTCGATGTTGCTGAGGTGGACTTGTTGGGAACACACAAGATTAGCTGGCGTTGCGCAGGGCGGACGGAACACCACCATGGAAAAATGGGAGATTGAGGCTTTGAAAACCGGGGAAACTCACTATTCCACTCCACCGGCAATTCCCTCGCTACCGCCTCGGTGAACCCTTCCACCGCGAACTTGCTGGCGTGGTAGAACGCACTCCCCGGGAACCCGATGAACCCGCCCATGGAGCTGACGTTCAGGATCACGCCGCCTTGCGGCGCACCACTTCTGGAGTTCTCCTCGCGCATGATCCGCAGCATGCGCTTGGTGAGGTCCACCACGCCCCAGAAGTTGGTGTCCAGGAGGGCGCGCGCCTCGGCGTCGGAGGCGGCTTCGGTGTCGCCCACCAGCGTGTAGCCGGCGTTGTTGACCAGGATGTCGATGCGGTGGAAGTGGGTGAGGGTCTTCTGGAGGGCGGCGTCGATGGAGGTTTCGGAGGTCACGTCGAGGGCTAGCGGGAGGATGTTGGCGTTGGTGGTTGGGAAGGATAGGCTGGCTGGGTTGCGGGCTGTTGCGACCACGCGGTGGGTTGGGTGGTGGGTTGTGATGTAGTGGACGAGGGCTTGGCCAATGCCTGAGGAGCAGCCGGTGACTTTTGGGGATTGTTAGTTTTTTTGTGGTTTTTGTATCGCATGGGAAGGGAGGGGATGGGCACTGACTGAACCAGACGGCGTCGGTGGGGATGTGGTATGGCTTGGTGTTGGGTCCGTCCATTGTGAGTGTGGATGTGTTTTTCTTTTGGCTAATTGTCTTGTTGGTTTGTTGGTTTGTTGGTTTGTTGGCTTGCTCTGAGATGGAATTGGAATTGAGGACAAGCGTCGAGGGAAAGTGCTATTTATCTGCCGGAAAGTGGATGATGCTATTGATGCTCGGTTGTATAGTCATGGCTCTCGTCAGCCACGGGCTAGTAAAATCCGTCGCTGCGCTTAAGCCCGCCCGCTATGACCCGTCAGCAGCCCTAACAGCGCAGGTGGCTGACGAGCATACGAAGGCATCATACCGATTCATAGAAGAATCTCGAATTTGAGGAAAGTTGCTGGAATTGAGCTCTGTATGACTCGATTGATCCGATCTTGGAGATTCTTTTGTTTGTAGTAATGCGCACTTTTCAGCCGCGAGTATATCCGAACCATAACATGCAGTCTAATCATGGATGCTTCTTGTGAAGGCCAAAAAAATCATTAGATGCTCGGGGTAAACAAATCTCTAGAAAGATAGAAGGGAGGCCCCTCCATCGAGACGCAGAACCAGTCTAATACTCAGGCCACTCAGGGTCCAGCTGTTCCCTCCACGAGCGGAAGCCTCCCCGGATATCGACAACCTTGCGTCGCCCTTCACGATCCAGTCCCAGCTCCTTCAGTTTCTTCACTACAATCTGGGAATCGTTGCCCATGCGACACACCACGTAGATCGGGTCCGTCGAGTCCGCAGCAGCAAGCTCCGCCGGCACCCACGCTGGAAGCTGGGCAGCAGCGTCATCACCCTTGCTAGCAGAAGATGCCAGGATCGTGGAGATCGGGATATTGATACTGTTCTCGAGATTGCAGATGTCGAACTGCACCTTCTCCCGCACGTCGATCATCGTCGGCTGCCTGCTCTCTTCCGCAGCCGACGACTGAGGGTGCAGCTCCCGGTACTCCAGCGGCGAAACCCGTTCCTCCGGCGCGAGCAGCATCTCCGGATCGGCACTGCCGCAGAAGAAGACATAATCCGTGGAGCCGGAACGCACCGTATCCAGGTTTACAGTCGACTCTGCAGAGCATACCGCGCAGTTGGCGCGGCGGGAGCGCAGCTTGATCGACCGAAACAAAGGCGTAGAGTACGCGGAGAAGATATGCAGCGACGGAGGGCTGGGGGGCTGCGTGTCGTCGGCCGTAATCACCTTGATGGCTTCCAGAGCCTGCAGGACGCCCATCGTCCCAACCACGGGTCCCAGGATGCCTCCATCCGCGCAGCTGGTGACCGTGTTTGCTGGTGGGGGTCGGGGAAACACGCAGCGATAGCACGGTCCGCCGGTTTCGTCGCCCGCAGGTCGAGGCGGGTTGTTCAGTACCATCAGTTGTCCTTCCGTCCTCAGGGCGGATGCTGAAACCAACGGCTTGCCCAGCAGCACGGCCGTATCGGAAATTAGGTACCGAGTTGCGGGGTTATCCGTACAATCTAGTACGATATCGTAGTCTTTGAAGATATCCGCTGCAGCGTCGGGTGCTAGATGCGCTCGATGGGCGATGTAAGTGGGATGAGGGTTCAATCTAACAAAAAGCAAAACATCATGGGTCAGTCAACCGTTGTGTAATCAAGTTCGTGGCAGAAAGATTAGACGGGCGAAGCTCACTCCTGGAGATACTCAATCGCGCTGTCCACCTTCATCTTCCCCACGTTTCGGCTGCGATGCAGAACCTGGCGGTGCAAGTTTGACGATTCAACGGTGTCCCCGTCCACCAATCCTAGTGTCCCCACGCCAGCTCCAGCAAGATACATCGCAGCCGGGCATCCCAGTCCACCTGCGCCGACAATCAGGACTTTCGCCGATCGGAGTCTCAATTGACCTGTCGCGCAACGCCCCCAGGTCAGCCACATGCATCTCCAACATTTCAGATCGAACATCGTAGAGTAAACTTGAAGGGAAAGAGTGGAGAGAAAAAGAGACTACACATACCCTGTACTCCCAGCTGCGGCACAATCATCTGCCTCCCATAACGCCGGTACTCCTCAGCGAGAAGTGGCCATCGACTCTCCTCCGTGTCAGTATGCTGACTCTGTGAGTTGAGTGCAGCTTGCTCTGCGACCTGAAGCTCGCGTTTCAGACCGGCAAGCTGCGCCTCTGTGGCAGCAATTTGCGCGCGCAGCGATGCGCAGGTCTGTTCGAGATCCTCCATCAAGTGATCTCGATTGCAGGAGGGGCTATCGAGGTTATGGATTGCTGTGCAGCCGAGGCACCCAGCCCGCGGCGCAGACTTGCTTGATCTTATCAGCCATCCGGGCTAAGCCAGATTAGGTGGTAGCGGCTCGGTCGGCCAGAGCTGGAGAACCACGGACGAGACTCGGTGGGTGGAAACTGTTCAATTCCTGACCGCCCCAAAACGGCAGAAAAGCGGTTAAAACAGCCGGCCAAAACTCGGCGGGAAAACTGTTCAATCCCTGACCGCCCTAAGCCGGCAGAAAAGAAAACCAGCCGGAGAAGACTCTCGGCGTGAAAACTGTCCGTGAAAACTGTTCTATTCCTGACCGCCCCAAAATGACAGAAAAGTGGTCAAAACAGCCGGCCAAAACTCGGCGAGGAAACTGTTCAATTCCTGACCGCCCCAAACCGGTACCTGGCAGAAAAGTGGTTAAAACAGCCGGCCAAAACTCGGCGGGAAAACTGTTCATTTCCTGACCGCCCGTAGCTCCCCGTGGCAGAATAATGTAGTATGCCTGAGGCAGCATTATTTAACCATATTGCTCTTTACCGATGTTGTGGTTGGGAGGATGATCCTGGAATTATGTATTAAAAGCCTGGGATATTCAGCACTAGCTACATCACTACGATATTTGCCATATGGGGAACATCGTCAAGCCTGTTTATCGCGTCGATCGCTTCTCGTCGAGCTTACAATTCTCACCCTTGCCCGAGGCGTCTAGTTACCCACCCAGGTGTTGACTATGCATCGTAGGCTAAACATAACACCAGATCTTGAAAATTCGCTGCTTATGGCCTTCAACATGCGTGCTCCAGCATTATAGCCCAATGCTCATGCACTAGGCTATTGTTAAGCTGCCTGAGCAGAACATCATCAGAATGGCTCGCAATATCGCTATCGATTGCCATCGCCAGATACCTAAATTACCCAGCCGTGCAACCCATTACATTAATGAATCAAAGCTAAGCATTTTTCGAAAAGGGCGGTGCTCATATTGACAGGCTGGCAGATTACTATGAGAAATAGACATTCTTCACTGGCTCAAAAGAGCGGCTCAATGTACCGTTCGAGTCGGTCGCGAACCAGCGTCCGCTGCTCAAATGCATATGCCATACCTATCAACGCCTCTTCACTCCACTTGGGTCCCAGGAAACTGACGCCAAGAGGGATCCCAGGCGCCTGCTCGATCAGATCTCCACGCGCATTTGCTCGGACCGGTGTTCCGTTCGGAAATGCCCCCATCGGCACGGTGATCACCGGCGTCCCAATTATGGCAGGGATATCAGAGGCCAGGTGAGTGGGCAAGATGACAGCATCGAGCTCATGCCGTCTCAGTGCTCCCAACAATCCCCCTTCATCGCCAAATTGCAAGTTATCTTGATACAATGACCAGAACCCTGGAGAGGTGTTGTTCAAGCCCGCCGCAATAACTTGATCCCAGATCCCCGTGTCACGAGATGGATATTCCTCGGGTGGACTCTGCTGAGTATAATGGCGAATGTCTGCAACGCTGTGGAGCTCGTTGGGGTTTACGGTCAGACTTGACAGGTAGGTGGCAATATTTGAGGTGAAATCAGCGGCCACTACCAAAGCTGGGATAGAGCTGGTGGAGAAGTCGCTGTACGCTGTGTAATTTGTCTCATCGATGACAGCCGCACCAGCACCCGCAATGATGGAGACTGTCTCTTCGAAGACCGGGATCATGGAGGCATCGGACTGCTCAAAATAAGCGATGACATTTCGTGGAACACCGATGCGCTTCCCCTGCAGCCCGGAAAATTTGCAGGCATCCACATAATTGGGCAAGTAGTTGCCAAAGGGTGAGGCAAGCGTATAGTTGTCCATGGAATCTGCACCGGCAATAGCTTGCAACAGCATGGCAGCATCCTTGACTGTCTTGGCCAGGGGCCCAACGGTATCCTGGCGCTCACTGATGGGGATGACCATGTGTCGCGATGTGAGACCGACAGTGGGCTTGATACCGACGACATTGCTCTTCTCGGCGGGAAGCAGAATGCTGCCACTAGTCTGTCAGAACGAAAGGCAATTAGCTCATATCAAATCATTATGTCGATAGTCGCCAGCTTACCTCTGTACCCAGAGCAAAAGTGACCAACCCCAGGTCAGTCGCAACAGCGCTCCCACTCGAACTTCCACTCGGATCCTGCCCAGGGTAGTAGGCCGCATACGTCTGACCTCGCCTGGCATTCCACCCGTTGGACGAATTGAAGGAGCGAAAATTGGCCCATTCCGACACGCTGCTCTTGCCTAGGATTATGAGCCCCTGCTCTCTGAGCTTACTCACCACTGTGGCTTCAGCAGGAAGCTTGGATCCGAGGAGAGCATAAGACCCGCCTATAAAAGAAGTCAGCCATCAGTCCCTCCACCCAGCCCACCAAGACCAATCCGCCGTACCTGTATTATTGAGTTGATCCCCCGTTCCGATAAGATCCTTAATCAAGACCGGCAGCCCATGCAAAGGCCTGCACCCATACCCCACAAGAGTTAGCAGCCCAATTCCCAACTCGAAGTCCCCATGTGATACCAGACTTACCCACGAACTTGCCCTCTGCTTCTCTCACTGTCAAGAGCCGCTGCAATACTGAGTGCCTCATCATTCACCTCCAAAACAGCATTCGTCTTCGAATTGACCTCATGCATTCGGAGCGTGTACGCCTAAACAGGATTTCCGGTTAACCAGGCCTCCACGACCTCCGACTTCGGGGAAGCCAGGGAATTGAGGGCCACACGCACCTTGACCAATTCCACACTGGTGAAGCAACTCTTATTCAGGCCCTCTTGCAGGTCATCCACCGTCGCGTCGATCAGGGACGGAAGGTCGCATTCCGGCCGGCCATTGCCTGACAGTTCGCCGTGCTCCGGAAGCAGGATACGGCAAGCGTAAGGAAAAGCCACGAGAGGCAAGAGGTGCCAGAGATGCATGATTGCTGATGAGGTGTAAAGAAAGTAAAGCAGATAGAGAAGCCTCACAAACGACGCGACGCCGAATCGCTATGTTCGAAGCGATATCCTGGAGGTGGAATGGTGAAGAGACGGAGAGAAGGGAACAGCTCATTTATGATATGTAAATTGGGGGATGGGATCGATGCACTGTACAGTGCCCCGTGCTGCGAAGGGAAGTCTCTACCGCTCCTGCCTGCACTCCTGAGGTGGTGGTACCATGAGTGACTAGTCAGTGAACGAGTGGCTTTGCTGCACGGCCTTCTTCTCCAGAACCTGTCAGGGAAGGAACGGAAATCATACTCAAGGAGTCTGAACTGACACCGGCGACGCCAGCACTGAGATGCCAAGACTATGCAAGGACGGCTTGGTGCAGAAACATGGGTAATCACTTGTGACCTGGATGGACACGAGCAAGGAAAGCTTCTAACATTACATATCAAGTATCAAGTGTACTTTCTGAGTGTTTCTTCTATTGTGAACCTCATTTGGACTACTGCGAGCCCGTATGAAACAGGGGGAGATCATCTGCTGTGATGTCTCGGATCAGTCTGATCAGGAAAAGCAAAGAAACCTTACTAATGGAATGGAATGCTACGCTTGAACGCTGGAATTGCTTGAAATAATTCAGATTTGCAAGTGTAGGTATCCTCTATCAAGCTGCCAGCCCACGATCATGTAAACAGCCCCGATATTCTAAGTCTCTCTCTAGCCTCTAATATCTATGTAAGGATCCAGCCCCCGCGGTAAAGTCATAATCGTATTCAGGGGAAGGAATCAAGCCACAAGACCTAGCCAGCTAGACCCTGTCTTGGCTGTTCCGCACACGAACAGTCTCCGCGTTCATGTCTTCGATGTGAGTGGCGCCTTGCTTGTGCATGGTGTGCTCCACCGCCTCGCGTCGTTCGTTCTCGTTGACCGCGCCGAAGAGGATGTCCATGTCCTCCAGGCTGCGGCCCTTGGTCTCCTTGGCGAAGATGATGACGAAGATACCCGCGCCAATACAGAAAATGCCAAACATGAGGAAAGTCCTCCAGCCAAGGCTGTGAACAGCTTTGGGAGTGATCTCCGTCACCACAAAGCTCCAGAGCCACTGTGAGGTCGCTGCCAAACCGACGCCGTATGCACGTAGTCGTGTAGGAAAGATCTAGTCTCACATGTTAATTATGCCACTCTGTTTGAGATGCAGCAGAAACTTGGGGAGAACTTACCTCACTGACAACAACCCAACAGGTCGGACCCAGCGAAAAGGAGTAGCCGATGACATAAAGGTAGATCATAACGACCATAGCAATGGAGGGCTTAGAGACACCACTGGCGTTCGTGTCGGGAGGATATGAGACCAAGAGAGCCCCAAGGATGATCATCATACTGGCCATCCAGAAAGCACCACCAATCAAACTGGGCTTGCGACCCCATCTATCGATACCGACGTATAGGAAGATTGCAGTCGCGACAACTTTCACTGTCCCATAGATACCAGTAGCAAAAAGAGAGGAACTCGTAGCACTGAGTCCGATAGTTTGGAAGATCTGCGAACTGTAGTACCCAATGGAGTTGGTTCCACTCCATTGCTGCCAGAACATGAGGCAGAAGGCAAAAGCAAAGCGCTTGAGGTTGCTGGGCACCAAGAACTCCTTGTAACTCAGTCCTTCGGTGGCGGATGCCTCCTCCTCGACAGCTGCTCTAATCTCAGCCATCTCTTGCTGTACCGCGTCACTGTCAGGTGCTTCATTGCGAATGTAAGCCAGAGAGTCTAGCGCTTCCTCAAAACGGCCCTTGCTGCTTAACCAGCGCGGTGACTCCTTGAGGAAGAAGAGTCCAATCAACATGAGGCCACCTGGGATTAGCTGAACCGCCACGGGAACACGCCATTGCTTGGTACTGGGCTTGATGTGCAAAGAAACGCCATAGTCGAGCCAGTAAGCGAATGTGCTTCCAATGACCAGGAATTCTTGGAACAGTCCTGAGATCCGACCACGAATTCTTGCAGGACAGTTCTCGCTGACAAAAAC